GTGTGTGTGTGTGTGTGTGTGTGTGTGTGTGTGTGTGTAAAACAATTTGGTACCAAGGTAGCTCAATGAAAATGTTTAAAAAAAAAAAAAATCATAATTTGTGGCTCAGGCCACATTCGATGCTGAAAATGTTTACAGAAATAACTTCAAATTTTATTAGTAATCCAGTGCTGGGTTATAAATTTAATTTCAGAATGATACTTGAAAATGCCAGAGTAATCAAATTGTCTCTTTAGAACTGGATGCAATTCATTCTAGGAACTCAGCTCCTCTGTAAGTAGGCTTTTAATCAGAAAAAAAATCAGTCAACTGGAATTATGATTTTCTATGGAAGATAGCTAACTATTCTCCAATCGAGAACTGTTAAAATGTTGAACATTTATTTTATGTATGATTTAAGAGGACATTTGGCCTGCATAAAATTAGAAATAAGCATTGTTATTAGTATCCCTATGGTGTGTTGATGCTTTGGAAGTGAAATGCTTTGTGGCCTTTAATGGGATGCTAGTTTTACATTTATAATAATGGAGGAAGAGGATGGTCAGAATCAAGTCAGAATCAGTCTCCTCAATCCTTTGATTAGCTTTTTTGCTTCTATTCTTTATTTTGCATCTCTCAAAAAAGTACTTATCATTGTTATCATCATCATTTTTATTAACAGAAATAATTTATTTTAAATTAAGGCTTTATTTTTGCCTAGCCCAGCTTCTTTCATTTGAACTAGTATTGGAATTTATAACTCTATGCTAAGTGCCGCGAAAGTGTTTGTCTTTGTAAGAATGATAATAACAGTGATGATTATGATACTAATAATGCCAATAATGACTCATGCATCAAGTGAAGAGTTATCAAATCCCCTGAATTCTGTGTGACTTTTGGCTGTCCGTATGCTAGTGTTCCTCTCCTTTGATCTGGAGATGGTGAAGTAAGATTCAGACACTGGACATTGTATTGTAAGATCAGTTTTCTTAAATGGTATTATATCTTACGTATTTAAAAAAATGTTTTTGATCACATTAGAGATGAACGCTTTTCAAGTGAGAAACAGCTTTTTGTGAACATTTTGTTAACATTATTGGTTTGGGTACAGAAAGCCGTGATTAATTTAAACTGGCAGTTAATGAAAATCTTTAGTTTTTAACGAGAGAGGGAACAAATCCAAAGAAATCCATCTTGCAGATATGTAAGTACACACACATGTACATGCACTCACATCTATGCCTTCTCTCCCTGTAGTCTGGCATCCTTCTAGATGAGAAATCGGCTCCATGGGGTCTAGACGGCAGCCTTGAAGTCTTGAAGTCCTGATACTTGACCCAGGGCAAGTCCCCTGACCTCTCCGTGCTCTAGTCAGCTGTCAATCAAGCCTCCGGAAGCCAGACCCTGCCAGGCTAGAGATGCAAGTAGAGAGGGAAACTGTCCCTCTTTAGAATGAGCTTACATTCTGATGGGGGAATATGTTGAAAGAGAATTGTGGATTTGCCTTCATGGAGGGTATTTCCACACTGAGTCTTCCCTACTCTAATGAAATAGAAATCCTGTGATACATCCAGACCATGTGTGTGCACACGTGTGTCACCTGTTGAAGAGCCACTTCAGGTCAATTCCACATTGATTCGATGCCTACTGTGTGCTGAGCCCACAAAGTTTTCCTTTGCATGCATTAACTCAGTTTACCTATGGGAAAATACTAAGACTTGCCCGTGCAACATGAGGTGGGGTGTTATGTGTGTCCATGAACCCTCTGCGCCCCGCTCCCCACACACATCCTGGGTCAGGACACTGCCATCTCTCCCTCCTGTAGCTGCATATTTATCAGAGTGTTCAGGGCTGATGGATGCTCAGGGTTTGGGGCAGTGGAGCAGCCTCAGCCATTGAGAAGTCTTGTTAAAGTACGTGTTACTCGGGTAAGCAGGAATGTTTTCAGTAGCAAGGTCCAAAGCCAAAATTCTGTTCCCAGAGAATTCTGTTCAAAGGGAGTTTTATTGGATATTGGCTTGGGGAATGGGAAGTTAAAGCATTGAAAGCGCTTTCTACACCTGCTCCTGCATCGACTTTTGTGTCCTTGTGGTTAGCAGCACCTCTTAAAACATATCCTGATGAGAGGTGGGTTTTTATTTACTTGGGTGCTAACTGCTTTTTTTAAAGAATTAGAGTTTCAGAAGTAAATAATGTATTTTCTAAGTTTCCAAAGTAAACAAATTATAGAAATATTCAGTATAGCATCTCAGCGGTGTCAGAGTACTGCACCTCAAGTTGGGAGGCCCTAGGTCTGGGTGCTGGCTCTGACCCTTGCCTGTGTGACCCCAGGCAGGTCACAATCTTCCGTGAGCGTCATTCTGTTCAGATGTCAGACGGGCGTTCTACCACCTACCTCCTCGCACGGTTTGTTATGGTGGAAGCACTGTGCAGCCTTTAAAGGTCCGTAGAAAAGCCAGTAGTGGTGGTCGATGGTCGATGCACCAAACCCGAAATGCTTCCGGGCTGAGGGGGTTGGTGTGGCTTAGAAATGATGGATGCAGTAGGTCTTGAGGATGGCGTTTTCAGGCAGGAGCTGAGATTTTCATGAAGGGTGATGGTCCAAAATACTCATGAAAATAAACCCCTTCATCTGAGGTGCCTGTTTTGTAATTAGGAAGGATGATTAAAAATCCAGATGAATTTTGTGCTGGCCAGTAAATTTAATCAAGTGGAGAAATGATGAAAGGGGATATGAATATAATTTTGTTTTAGAATACATGGACAACTTTGGATTCAATGAGATTTTATTTAATGGAACTTTTCCAGATCTTCTGGCTTTTCCTAAAATCCTTGGATCAAGTATGAAGTTGGGGCTTTACAATGACCTTGACTAGGTGGGAGTATTGAATTGAGTCAGTCTCTTTAAAGTGAACTTAGAAATGCTTACTTTAGAGAATGAGTTTAAAAAAATGTAACATTTTTGTACAAGTTGTTTGACCTGAGGATCCAGTAGGACAACATAGCATGCTTGCATTCGTTAGCACTTGAGATATTTGGGGGGGGGGGGCAGTGAGATGGTAGTTGTTACTGAAGCTGCTTCTGTTGTAGCAAACTGGGGAGTTTTGATGCTCTTTTGGGTTGTGGTGCTATTTCTCCCTCCTGTTGGAAATGACTGAAATGAAGGAATTTTGTGATGAAAATTAATGGTGATAAATCAGTGTGACCTCTGGGGTTGTAAGAAGGCATGCCATTGCCTCGCTGTATCGGAGTGACCCGAGTATTACAGAGCGAACTCACCATTGTGCTTTTGGAAATGACATTGGTACTCTCAATGCCTTGTGGTCATTTATCCTCATCTCTGTCTAATGCAGGGCTTGGAAGTGAGCTGGAGTCATGTACAGTGGATACAGTGTACTGTTTACCAAAAAAGCAAAGCTTGGGCTTTTTGTTTTTCACATGTTTTATACTTTGAATTTGTTGTGCAGATAACAATCGTTTGATGTTTACTCTGTGTTTAATCTTTAAGTTTAGCCTTCCAAATAAAATGGAAGTCTGTATTTTTAGACCAATTTAGTATTTGGGACTTTGCACAGGTCCAAATCACCTTACAGACCTGGAAGGTTTCAGAGCACTTAACCGTTATTTATACGTAATTTGTAGTGGTTAGAATTTACAGCCTTTTATATTGTATAAGCTTGAAAATAAATGTTTCATGTTGGACTGTTTTTTTTTTTCCTCATTGGAATTGTTTCCTTTGTGTCTTCAGAGTTTCACCCTTGAGCATCTCCCATTTCTCCTGGGCAGACTTTCCCTGTAGAATTTTGGTCCATGGGATCCTACCTATCTTCTTCTGAGCACTTTGAAATCAGAACAAAAGTGAAAAATGGGAGTTTTTGAGGAGTAGGGAAGAAGCAGCATGGCTTCTCTTTTTTCAGTAAATTAGGAAATTAGTTCCTCTGTTGAAAGGGAGGGAGTGCTCATCGCTAGACTGAGCCAGTATAGTACAAATGACAGTTCTATCTACACTGATATACTTATTCAGCGCCATACCAATCAAGCTACCAGAGATTATTTATAGAGCTAGAAGAATTAATAACAATTCATCTGGTCAAGAATATCAAGGAAATGAATGGAAAAAAATGTGAAGGAAGGTGGCCGAGACATACTGGATCTCCAACTGTATTATAAGGCAGTAATCACCAAAACAATCTGGTCCTGGCTAAGGAATAGAGTGGAGGATCAGTGGAATAGAGTAGGTATACACTGTACAGTAAGTAAAGGCTTTAGTAATATAGCATTTGATAAACCCAAAGATCAGAGCTTTTGGGACAAGAACTCACTATCTGACAAAAACTGCTGGGAAAACTGGAAGACAGTTTGGTGGAAATTAGGTACAGACTAACATCCCACACACACCATCCACCGAGATAAAGTCAAAATGGGTACATGATTTCAATATGAAGGGTGATATAAACAAATCCGGGGGGCATGGAATAATTTACCTGTTACTTGCCTCTGAACTTTTCTCCCTTCACTCTACTTATTCTTCTGCCTTTCAAACACCGGGACAAGTACTCCCAAGAATCTCTTCACATCTGCTTTTGAGAGAGTACACTCTGCTTGCTTATGGAGA